CAGCCCTGTGTGCACAGTCGTGACTAGTCACCACCTCAGCCCTGTGTGCACAGTCGTGACTAGTCACCATCACAGCCCTGTGTGTGCACAGGTACACAGTGATGACTAGTCATCATCACAGCCCTGTGTGCACAGGGGCACAGTGGTGACTGGTCACCATCACAGCCCTGTGTACACAGGTACACAGTGATGCCTAGTTACATGGCAAACCATTTTGCTCAGGCAAGAGATAATGGACATGGCCAATAAATCAGGCAGTCTCTTTGATCAGTGTCGAATGTCAATTTTTTTCTTGAGCATCTACTGAGGCTTACTGAAGTACATAAAGGCCAGACACTGAGAAATAGATATGATAGCTGCCTCAGGTCTTGGAGTCAAGGCCGTGTGAGATGTCACACAAAATATAGGACCTAAGGATCCTGGGGCAAGCTTTCTGTGAACAAAATCGTGTAAAAATTCTTCGAATCTTAGTATTTCCGTTTCCTTATTTCCTTTGGATATTTCTCGCTTATTGCTGTTGTGGCAAAGGGAAAAAGTGGGTGGATTATGCTGGCATCATGTGTATGCTAAAGTGAAAGCAGGCATCATGACGGATCAGTCACAGAAGAGACAGAAGCCCCAGGGGAAGATTTAAAAAAAAAAAAAAAGGCAAGCAGTCTGAGGACCACCTTGTCCACCTGTCCTATTGGCCTGAAGTGTGCTTTTCCTAAACAACACTCAAAGCCTTGGGATTGTATTTATGTGGCTCTGCTCTGATTGATAAAAATCTTCACAGAAATATAAAAGAGGTGGTTAGTGAAAGTATCCCATTATTTGGACTACTATTCCATTTCATCCTAGAAACAAACAATTGCTTTGTCAGTAACATCTTATATTTCTAGGACACAATATATTTCAGAGAATCTCACAGTTTGTAAAGGACTTTTGCATAAAAATTTTACTTGAGTACTTTAGCAACCCCCTGGGATGAGCAGTAACAAAGAGAGTACCCACAGACACAGGTGGGATGGAGAAGTGGGGGGGGGATATGCCCCACCCCCAACCTCCTCTTCCAAAATCCCAGGACTGAAGCAATAAAAACAAAAAATTAAAGTAGCTTTATTTGAAGGGATGTTTACTAATATGGAGATATGTTCCTGAAGTTTATGTCAAATCTTGAAGATATATTTCCTAATTTTTTTCCTTATTGCATCTATTTCTTATTGTTAGTTCTTCCATGGTTCTGTGAAAATAAATTTAAACTGTTACCTCATTTTAGTAATATCAGATGAGCTACAGGAGGAAGAATATAGAAATAACGTGGTGAGGTCTAACAGTGAGGGTATGACAGCAGGAGTGTCTTCTAACAGAGCTTGCTTGCCTGCACACTGACGTTTGTGTTAGAACATGCGCTTGCTGCTGTGGATTAACCCAGTATAGTTCCTGATCCACTGTGACTTGGATCAAAGCCTCCCCCACTGAACTGCATACGATGGATATTAATCGAACGTTACTGCTTGATCTGCCCTTCTCTTTTCTCACACTTTAAAACTGTTTGAATTTGGGTTATAATTATGATGCATGCACATGACTTACTATAGACTCATTTTTTATACCAATGATCTATGACCAACTAATTGAGGTAATTCTTCAAATGGAATGCATATGTCTGTGAGAAAAGATGATGCTGCAATTCATAGTGCCCAATTTTGTCCCTGTTCCCCTACTAAGACTCTTTAATTGGAAATCTGCAATCCTCCCTGTTTCTCTGACACCCACTTGGCATTTGCCTTGCACTTGACTGTGGCCCTGTAATGGATAGGACATTGTCTGCCCCAAGAAGGAAAGCTGGCAGCCTCTTTGGACTGGCGGTTACTGGATTGATGTTGGTCTAGCACTTTACTGGAAGCTGGTTAGAAAGGACACTTGGGCCGTTCCCTGGAATGTGTGGTTCAAAATAACTCAGCCTCAGTTGGTTGGACTGAAGTAGGTCAGCAAGACCCACTCGACCACCACCCTGCTCAGTGCATGCCTGTACGGTCCTGACTGACCTCATGTGGGTCGGGTGGGACTTACTGGTTCAGTCAGCACAGCCCTTGTTGCAGTTTAAGGGCTGTGCATGAAGGGGGTGGTGTGATTCCCTCAGTCCTGCTCCTTCAGCAGATGGTTCATCCTTGTCAGTCTGGTTACCCAACTGCTCGCCCACTCGCTCAGGACCTATTTTTAAGCATGGTCAGCAATGTAGTGAGTACTTGTTTCCATAGTCACTCAACCCGGAAGGTTACTCTGAGAGCTCGGATGCTGGTAAGATGTTATCTAATTAGCCGCATGTCTGAATTGCAGAAAAAGTCTGTAGGGCTCAACTTTGTCACAGGATAATTTAGTCCCATCCTGAGTGCTCATCTGGGTGAGTCAGAAGAAGAAAGAGAGGCAATAGAAGCTTGATTTAGGTTAGGTTCATGGGTATCAGTTCCATTTTAGCCTCACCAAAGAAGGGAACATCTTCTAACAGGCGTCCACTGTGCCAGGATACTGCCGGATAACAGACATTCTAGCTCCCTCCCAGTCCCATCTATTTGCAAAATGTATTTAATTAGCTTTACGCATTCATGTCAAATTCTCCAAGGTTCTGAGAAAATATTACAAGGTTCTTTTGATACATTATGGTTCCAGGCTTTGAGCATAACTCATGAATCTGCTCTGACTTGGAACACAGTGGCCGGCTACTAGCTTTCTCAGAGATTCCTGGAAAAGCAGCATGGTGCCATCCTATAGTTTACATTCTCTGCTGGCAGGCTTCTGAACTGCATGCTCCATGCTTCACTTTTTAACACACACTGCTTGAAAACTAGAGAGACAAAGAGAACATGGGACACATAAAGGAATTGGCAAATGCTTACCGGTGCTGCCCATGTCACACTGAAGAGGAGCAGTCCAACACACACGGCCATGGCCTGCGTCATCACCAGTCTCCCTGGAAAAGTAACAAAACCTCTCTTAGTAAAGCCAGTTATGAGCTACAGACACAAACACACATGTGTTCAACATCCCCCCCTGCAGTTCATTTCCTTTTAATATATAGATTACATATCTTATATATAATTACATCTATAAAATTAGCATCTATATAAATATATGTAGTTTGCACAGTTAGTTCATAGTTAAAAGTTTATATTTTAATCTATTTTTTATGTCTGATTATTATATAAAACAAAAATCATTGACTATAATTATTCCAATAATCAATTAATAGAAATTAATTGTATAGACATAATTATTTGTTCTATTGGTAACCTGACATTTCCCTATGTGCATAGAAAACTATCATTAAATGCTTGTATAATTGAAAGCAGTAAGGCAACATTTCAGCTCCTGACTGAATCATTAAGTGTGTCAAGACAGCAGATACAAAGGTGAGCAATGAATCTTATCAATTCCAGGCTAGTACCCCAGTGGCACACCTTCATACTCATTAGCAACATTAGTCACTATGTAGGTGCCAGAGAAAGAAATGGCTGGAGCAATTGTGAGCATAAGCATTACTAAACAATAAAATTAGCTAAACATCATTCTAAGAATTTTCCATGTGTTTATTTATTTCAGTCCCAATACAAAATTATGAGCTAGGTGACTTTACCAGTTTTATAGACTAGGACACAGACTCAGAAATGTCATGTAACATGTTCCATAATTCATGAATATTAATGAGCAGAATTGGGGTTAGTATTCTGGCAAAGTAGCTGTTCCTAACTCTATGTCACCTAAAGTAAGATTCTGTTATTCCATCTAATTAAATAAAAGCCACATGCAATCAACTTAAAGAAGATCCTATTTTATATAAAGTTCAGCAGAGCAAACTTTGGAATACTCGCTTTTAGTTATGGAGTAAAGCACATGTGTGTGGTGTGATGGATATTTCACTGGGACCTGGTGAGCTCAGCTAACTCAAGCAGCCATTACACTGAAAAGTTATCAGCGTAGCTCTGGACAGCAATCTGTTGGTCTTGATGAACATTATATATTTTACTGACACATAAACATATAACAGCCAATATAAAAATAATAATGTGATTGGTTGGAAGAAAATACTTTTATAGGGAAAGTAATTTAAATGTTCTTACAACATTTAAACATTTCATAGTAAAAACTTTTGCTCAGCAAAATAATGCAACTAAGATATATTGTAAAAATCCTAGTTTGTATTTTTCTAACTTAATGCTGTCTTATGGATCTACATCTAAATTCAAGCTACAATTTTGGCTCCTAAGTATTTTAGACAAGGACAGTCTACACATTCATCAAACAGCTCCGTGCTGGTAGATGCATCAGTGCGGTGTTTATCACAGCACAGCTGGCTTCTCCTGTGTCTGGTGTGTCCATGGTGCAGCTCCCAGTTCTTACCTGATGACAGTGATAGTCAGCCCACGGGCCAGTTTGCTGCCAAGACGCACAGTTTAGTCAATGATCTCTAGCACTCTACCTATCGTATAGACCAAAGCGCTGAATTTAGACAACTATCCTCAGCTGAGAACAGTCCCAGTTTGCACTTCTTTTCAATTAAGCAGACCAGTATGGCAAGGAATCTGCAAGCTTAAGCAAGCACTTTCAGTCAAGAGCATTTCTCTGTGAGGAGTAAATTACCTGGTGTCATTGACCTTTGGCAAAGCTCGGCTTCTTCAGGTTTAGCAGTTCCTGGGCACTTGCCGAAATTTAAAGATTGTTAGAGCCCCCAGTGTCCAATCAGCATGGCCCACTCAGGACCAGCGAGGAGTCTGTCACAAGTGCCCACAGATGACCACAGGGGGCAAGGTAATTTTAATCTAAAAATGTTTTTGTGGTGGGAAGCTGCTATCAAATGTTCCAGAGAGTAGAATAAACAGAAAAATATAAATATCTCAGTTTGGACATTATGCTGCTAGATAATTAGATTTGATTTCAGAACTATTAACTAGAAATAGGTGGATAGCTTGCATATTTATAAATAGAAAATATTTGTAAACCAACAAATTTGTAAGTATTTTTATTAAGTAAGTTTATAAACTTAATTGTGTCTGAATAAGATTCAGAAATAGCTAACAACGATGTTTTGAGTGCCTACTCCATGGCAGGCATTGGAGAAGCCTCAGTGAGTGAAACAGAATATAACTCTGCCTCATGGGGCTCACCATCCAATGAAGAAAACAGACAACGAACTACATTGTATTAGAAGGTAACATAGATGAAGTTCAAGCAGTATTGCAGAAAGATATCTCAAGCATTGGGAGTAAGAACACAGGGTTGAAATTTTACATAGAGGATCCTTGGAGGGTCTTAAACATGTGTATTACTCCAAAATTTATATCATAGAACTAAAACTCTCATGTGATAGCATTAAGCTTTTAGAATCTAAGTTACCAGGTGAGAATCGTCATGAGTAAGATTAACCACTTTAAAAGACTGAAGGAAACAACCTCCACCCTTCTGCATTCCACCTGTCTGTCACGTGAACACACGGCTTTCATCCCATCATATCCCGGGGAGGAAGTAACAAGATGCCATGTTGGAAGGTAAGACAATTATCTTCCACTGAACAGTGAACCTTCCAGCACCTTTATCCTAAACTTCCCAACCTCCAAAGCCTCAAGAAACTGAAACAGTGAGATGTCAACTTTTGTTCTCTTTAGATTACCAAGTCAGGGGTAGTCCATTACAGTAGCATGAACAGATTATGACAGAATGGTAGCTGCATGACTTTGCATGGGAGAACATTCCAGACAGAAGGTCTAGGAAGAGCCAGCTCCAGTAACAGGGACCTGCTGGCTTATTCCAGAAGCCAGCCATTGAGCTGGAGAGGCCAAGCAAAGGAAACAACAGAAAATATGAGACAGAACTGGACAGCAGAGGGCCAGAAACCTGCAGGTCTTTTCCCTAAGAGGTAAAGCCCCTACAGGATTGGGAATGAGCTGTGACATAGAGGACTTACCTACTCTACCCATGGCCTCAGATTCATTCTCAACACTACTTAAATAGAAATAAATGGGCAAAATTTAATGAACTCATTAATTTAATTTTAATTCCAAGTCGAGAAAGCTACTAGAGATTTTTGAGCAGAGGTGAGATTGAAGGTGTGAAGTCTGGACAGAGTAGAGAAGGCAGCCTAGAGTTATTGCAATGATCTAAGCAAAGGCCAATGGATCTCAAGGCAGGCAGGAGCAGAGGAGTGAGGAAAAGTGGTCATATGCAGCATGGTTTCAGAAGAAGGACCATAGGACTTGGCTGCACCAGGGACACTCACACCAGGGGAAGCTCACACCAGGAGAAGCTCACACCAGGGGAAGCTCACACCAGGGGAAGCTCACACCAGGGACACTCACACCAGGGACACTCACACCAGAGGATGCTCACACCAGGGGAAGCTCACACCAGGGGATGCTCACACCAGAGGATGCTCACACCAGGGAAAGCTCACACCAGAGGATGCTCATACCAGGGGATGCTCACACCAGGGGATGCTCACACCAGGGGAAGCTCACACCAGGGACACTCACCAGGGAAAGCTCACACCAGAGGATGCTCACACCAGGGGAAGCTCACACCAGGGGAAGCTCACACCAGGGACACTCACACCAGGGGATGCTCACACCAGAGGATGCTCACACCAGGGGATGCTCACACCAGGGGATGCTCACACCAGGGGATGCTCACACCAGGGGATGCTCACACCAGGGGATGCTCACACCAGGGGAAGCTCACTGGGAGACTTAGGCAGAGGCAGAACGAACCCAGGATCTTGCCTTGTGATGGGAAAACTGAAGTTGCTTTTTATTGAAATGGGAAAATATTCAAAAGATACTTTTGAAGGATGTGTTATGGTTTTAATTTGGATGAAGATTTTTATTAAATGGTTAGGACATTGAGTCTGTGCTTCCTTTCCTTGGTGGTAGATGCTAAAATCAAATTGCAATTCATGTTCGCAATAGTTAGGGAGGTTTTATTTGGTCAAAAAATATAGTAATGTCTAGTGGGATGACTCACATTGGGTTTATGTGTAAATCTATCAATAAAAGGTTATGTAAGTTTTTAGACTTATACTTTATAAGAGCTACTTGTGCATAAATACAACTTTATAATCAGCTATAAAAAACATGTAATGAATTTTAAGCACAAATCTCTGATTTACCCAAACTCAAATAGGCAAAAATAAAATAATAATAATAATAATAAAAAGCAGAAAAAAGAGCAATATATCGCTGATACAGTTTTGGTTTGGACAATGACAGTTTGTTTAGTATTAGAGTACACAATCCTTCCTGCTTCATACACATTCTACAGCTTCTCTTCTAAGGATCCTGAGTTGATTTTAAAGACCTAAAGAACTTCAAGCTATTGTGTGTGAAGAGAACCACGTTGATTTGAGACCATCTAACTGAACGTTAAAATATTTGGTCACTGTCATTGACAGTGGAGACTCTTAGCCTCATAGTCATGTACTTAAACACATCTGAGCTCAAACCCAGATGTGAAAAATTGCTCAAACAATGAAATTGAATTTTTTCAGCCTCCTTTTCTCCATCCAAGTATTATTCTAACTTATTTAGTCCATGTAACAACTCTGATGTAGATAATATTATTATCATTATAGCTTTTAGTGATGAGACACAAAGTGCTTCAGGAATTTTTTTTAAGTTCTCATAACCAGCAAATCAAAAAGCCAGAAATAGCATAGAGAATCTGGCTAATTAAGGCCAGTGTGTTATGTTGACACATAATGTCAGCATGAACATTACCAAATTCTGCAGGGTGCTTAGTCCACTGCCTACTTGCCCGGCTCACCCATTATTCCTGTTACTAACAACTGTCTGTGACCCAGGTGGAGCAGGCATGCTTCTTCCTGTTCCTGCCCTAGTCCCCTGTTGGTTTTCTTACCATGTCTTGTAGCACAAATCTTAAAAGGTCCTATTAATAAAAAACACTCAGAAGCCAG